CACTGGGGGTATAAGGGAGGATTTTAGCGCTTGTTTCGCCAGAGCGGAAGGAGTACCAAGCAATGGCTGTCCTGCCGTCCTCGTTTCGCGACGCGTCTGTGTAAATGACTTTATTGGTTTTACATTGAAGGAGATGTTCTATATCTTTTATGTGTCTTTTAGCAACATTTTTTCTTCTATTACAGTGCTCTTTGCTCTGATTTAGGGGTATAGGCTTGATCTCTGTTATGCATTCGTCTTCCCATGGAGGAGGAGAAGTGGCTATAGCTGGAATTTTAAAGTCCGTTACTCCGAGGTGCTTAAGAATGATTCTTCCCGGTTCGGTTCTTTTGAGGCGGTCTCTCTGACTGTTTTGTGCTTCTTTTGCTAGTTCTTTTATTGTGTTTATTTGAGCCGCTTTGTGCAGGTCGGGAATGCGGGTTATCTTGGGCAAACCCGTGATAACTCTCATAGCTGCCTTGTTAAGGGTTTCAACTTGATCTTGCCGGGTCTTGGTAAGACGAAGGTAGTTATAACCGTAAATGGCTTTGGAGACGAGCAGTGATCGTACCAATAGTTTTAAAGGTTTTTCTGCTGCCCCCCCCCCCCCCCCCCAAGCTTTGGTTGTTGTTCTCTTGATAAGGTTAAGGCCGCGTCTCCATTGTATCTTAATCTGGTTCAGCCAGCTCCGTGCTCCCCCATCCTCGTCGACTGTGAGACCGAGGATCTTTACACTTGGTTGTCTTTGAATTTTGGTGCCATCAACGTACAAATTAATGGTGTCTCCGATGTTTTTCTTTCTAGCCCTCTTTGAGGCGACGACTGTGTAGGTGGTCTTTTCGGCTGAGATTATCATATTTGTTTCATGCATAAAGTTCATGGTGACATCCACGGCTTCTTGAAGTCGCCTTTCTTGATTGTTGGGTGTGCCTTTGTTGATCCCTGAGGTGACGTCGTCAGCGTATACAGTGTAACGTACGTCTCGAATTGCCTCCATGTGGAATGCTAGGTCAGCCATGGCCACTTTAAATAGTACTGGGGAGATGACCGCTCCTTGGGGAACTCCTACCGTGTTTCTTGTGAGGGGGCTCGTGGCGCCTCCAATGTGAACTTGAAATTTGCGTCGATGAAGGAAGGATTTGATGAAGTTTAGTATTCGTCCACGTAGGCCTCGATTTTTTGCTCCTCGAATTCAATGTTCATATCGGTCATACCGGAAGTAAAAGCAAAGATAAATATCGATAGGCAGTGTTTATTCGAAACATATGTAGTTTATAAATATACACACAGGACACAAGGACAAACCGCTCTAATTAAATAGATTCAAAGGAAATCTAGTTTGAGAATTATGAACCCGCCCAAAAAGCATATTCGGGGCAGCCGGGACTCCAACTGTGCTAGCCCCAAGCTCTTATAAATGCATCAATACGAAATGTAATTAATCAGAGGTGTTCTGGACGAACACGTGCCGCCGTGTAGTACACGAGCGGCACGTTTTTGGAACGCGCTGAGCGCCGAAAATTGAATTGCCTTAGTATTCCCGTATTTGCCGCCGGGTATTTGGCCCATCTAGCAAAGCGGGATCGTAGCCGGACTGGATTTGGTGGTTTATTTTGCCGTGTTTTGTCGCCTCCAGTTCATCCGGCGGAACAATTGCCGTGTCCGTTTCTTCGTTCGTTAGGTGGGACGGGGGACTCCGACAAACAGGTAGTCTGTAGGTGTCGTCTGTTGCTCGTCCACGCTGGAACCTGTCGGCTGTTGCGGCTTTTCTCTCTAATGGGACTAGGCTATATGGCAGCTTGTGAACGCTTCTGTTGGCGACGAGGTACTACGGAGGCACCCCTTATGATTTCTTCAAATCATGACAAGATTATAACTTTCGAACGACAAGTTAGATGGTGTTCTTAAAAGGCACACTGGAGGACATGGAGACATCACGTTCTTCAACCAACAACGTCGAAGTTGTCATTCTTTCAGTATTGATATTTCTATCAATGAAAGCACAATTTGTCACTGGTTCTTTGGTCAACAGTAAAACGCCGACCACAGCGACGCTTTGGCCGCGGACGTGACAAACGTTTCAACACCATCCTAATGTTTACAAAAACAGAGCCTAACATGCGCTCATCATTGCCCAGCGCACGCAAGTGCGTTGCTTTGGAAAGCGAGCAATGCAAGCGGCACATAAGCGAACACTGAAACTCGTAGGTGTCATTTGTAGCGATAGTTCACACGGTGCGTGGAGATCGCATACTGGTATATAAATATGTAAACATGGGAATTGTGTATTGTTGGACACAGCGTTTTGTGGCTATACAGTCAAAGGTATAGAGACGCGCGTGTTTGAGTGCAGATGAACCCTCTTAAAAAAAACAAAAAAACATCGAGACTGAAAAAACAGAAAAAAAAAGGATCACACCACACAGCTACGGTTTAATCGCCAGCCACACATTTAATAGATCTACCTCGTTGCCACTTGTGTACACCACTTCCTCCTGACGGAGAGAAGCCCAATGATCAATCCCTACACATCTCGCCAATTCACACATAGATTCGACAATCCTGCGCTTTTGAACGCAGGATTATCGCACCTATATGTGAAGTGGCGCGATATGTGGAGATTAATCGTTGGGTTCCCCTCCATCTGGAAGAAGCGGTGCACACAAGTGGCGAAAAGGAAAACCCGTTTGACATGTGGCGGGCAAATGAACTGTAGCTGAGTTTGAGATACTGTGTGTGGTGCCCCCTTTTTTCTGGTCTCCCCAGTCTCCAGTTTTTTTTAAGTTGAATTGTCACAAGCTCACCTAATGTTTGAGTATTTGACCAGATTAAACCTAGGCACGTGCACTCCTCCTCTGGCCAGAAATGCCACAGAACGTTATCACCGTTTATGGGGTGTCCACGCGAAGGAGAAATCCGCCTCTTTCCTCCGCGGAGCGCGCATCACGTGAGACATACGTCATCCCTTTCTGACGCCTCGCGACGCCGTTCTCCTCCGTGGCGGAGGCGCGGAGGCTTCGTGCTGTCAGCACGAAATCTCTGCAGGTGCACGCGGCGGAGCCGGGGACGGAGTTTCCCGAGTTGTTGACGTCACGACATCCGTCCGCGGAGTTCTCCTTCGTGTGGATACCCCTTTATGGGGTATCCACACGAAGGAGAAATCCGCTCCTTTCCTCCGCGGAGCGCGCATCACGTGAGACATACGTCATCCCTTTTTGACGCCTCGCGGCGCCGTTCTCCCGTTCTCCTCCGTGGCGGAGGCGCGGAGGCTTCGTGCTGTCAGCACGAAAGCTCCGCAGGTGCACGCGGCGGAGCCGGGGTCGGAGTTTCCCGAGTTGTTGACGTCACGACATCCGTCCGCGGAGTTCTCCTTCGTGTGGATACCCCTTTAAGGGGTATTCACACGAGGGAGAAATCCCGGGGATTTCTCCTCGGCACGCGAGCATCACGAGATGAAAACGCGAGGCTTTTGCACATTGCAAAGCCTGACGTTTTCGTCGTGGGATGCGCGTGCCGGGGAGAAATCCCCGGGATTTCTCCCTTGTGTGGATGGGTATCCACACGAAGGAGAACTCCGCGGACGGATGTCGGGACGTCAACAACCCGGGAAACTCTGTCCCCGGCTCCGCCGCATGCACCTGCGGAGCTCTCGTGCTAACAATACGAAGCCTCCGCGCCTCCGCCGCGGAGGAGAACGGCGCCGAAAGGCGTAAAAGGAATGACGTATGTCTCACGTGACGCGCGCTCTGCGGAGGAAAGGGCCCGGCGGATTTCTTCTTCTCTCGAGCTCCGTCCGCGGAGTTCTCCTTCGTGTGGATACCACTTTACGGACTATTCCAGAAACGGACTTCTGGCCAGTGCCATTTTCAGCGTTTGTGCGTAATGGTGCAAACTTTGTTCGCTTTCCGAAGCGACAAGCACGCGCATGTGGGCTGTCAAGACAGGACACTGGGCTGTGATATTGCAAACATTGGAACAGTGCTTGTTTTTAGAACACAAAACGCACCGAAAATGTGTGCAGACAACTTTCTCTGCCGTTTCCAAGGAGGGCAGATGTACGCGTGCACAGCTTTATTCGGCGCTCAAGCTGCGCGAGCTCACCCTTTGATTGCGTGGCCACAGAAAGTTGTCCTCAAGGATATTCCTCAAGATTACAAGCGCGAGCATTACCCTTCGGTGATCGAACAATGCCCATTCAAAACACTTTGAGATGAACGCGCCCATAAACGATTTTTTTTTTTGAAAAGTTGACGCACTGCTACACAAGACGACTTCTAGCAGCTACATTCAATACACGGCTTGCATTAACGTCATAGCCGCTGTCATTGTGATGACCTTGTTGTTATTGAGCGCATACCTTCCGTAGCATACAATTCTCTCCCATTATTTTTTTAAAGAATAAGTACGAATAAACATTAGCATGGTGCAATGACGCCCCGTGCAAGCCCAGTATGTGCTCGTGTAATTGCCGTGTGCTTCCCTTGTTTGATATTCTATACAAGCCCGTGACACTGACCTGTTTTTATTGCATACATGGTTGTTACTTTTCTTTGAACAGCACAATGTTGCGTCATATGATATCCGTCAAGGCTAGTTCAACTACCAATAAAAGATGCCCGATAAATTGTATCTTAAATTTAAACCGCAAACGATGACGAAAAACGAAGTGCACCCGAAAAAGGGTTACACCTTTTGACGAGAATATACGAAGCAAGTTTGCAGCTCCGACGAGCTGCATGGTTGAATTAGAAGTTTGGTATTTTACGTGCCAAACCAAAGAAGGGTATCTGGCACACCCCAACGAAAGACTGGGGATTAATTTCGAACATCTGGGGATTTTTCGACGTTCAATAAAAATCTCGGTTACACGGCGCCTTTTCCACAATAAGCCTCTGTCAGATTGGGGGCCGCTCGACCAAGGTTAGCTGCATAGTTGATATGCACCATGGAAAGCCATGAATGAACGAGAATATCAAGCACCTAAACGCGAGAGAGAAACAAATCGCTTCCCCCAGCGCACCATGTCGACAGATACGGAGGGTGGGGAGTCGTCCACGAAGCCCGGAGGTTCGCGGCCTTCTTCGAACCCGTCCTCCCAGCAGGCCTCGTACACTCGCGTCGGCGTCTTGGTGGCCGTCCTGCTCTCCCTGGGCGGCCTGCTGCTCATCTGGATGATGTTTGTCGGCGGCTCAAAGAAGGCCACCTCGCCGGACATCAAGGGGGCAGCCCCAGCCGTCCCAGCTCGCGATCAGTCCATCAGGGCCAAAGAACCTTCGGGACCCCAGCATCCGCTGCCTGGACCACCGCCAGTGCCGTGGTACAAAGAGCTGGACGAGCGCCGAGCCACCGATCGCGTGTTCTTCATCACCCGTCCTCAGGCCTCGACGTCAGAAAAGCCCGCCACGTCCAAGGCGGAACCCGAGGACTACGTGCCTCCTCTGAGGACGGACTTTCCCGAAAAGCTGCCTGGCCATTTGGAGCCAATCCACTATGACGTCATGTTCAAGGTGAGCAACGAATAATGCGGTACATCGTGGCCTTGGCGCTGCTGCCTACTCGACCACTGTATCACGTTGGCGTCCCATAATGTTGCAGAAAAGTGTAACATGGACTTTCTTCGCGTTTCTGCCTTTACGATCGCGTCTATGGAGGCATTCACTTGCTTACAAAAGGTCAGGGCTTTCTGTTGCTTAGTATACATATTTTGCGCTGATTTATTTGACTTCTGTTTGTTTCGATTTGCTCTGAAAACAACATCAGATATATATTCAGGTACCTATAGGATATCTTCTTGTTGTAGGTTGTGGCGGGAGGAAAAGTGCGCTATAACATTTTGGTTCACATTAACTGAAGATCGTGTTGGTAACATTGACTGGAAATAGAAAGAATAAAACAAACCTGAAACGAGGGACGACAACGAAGAGATGTTCGTCGTGCCTCGCCCCGAGTTCGTTTTATTCCTTCTGTTGCCAGTACATTTTGGCGCATCCAGAAAACATTTGAACGTTGTAATCTGTCACCCGTAAATTAAATGTAAGATAGAAAGCCAAATCAGTGACGCCTTCGTTGGGCAACTTTACAGTTTAGGACGTCCACCACAGCGACCTATGTTGTCGACGTTCTACCTTAGCCTTGTTTTCAATTCCTCTCGCCTTTTAAACAGTGCAGGTTAATATAATTAAGAAGACATAATTAACCGTGCACTCCATTGACTTTTGCCGACCCAACGCAAGGTACAAGGGTTGATCAAGGTTTGGCCGGGACGTTTATGTCCACAAAGCAAGTAAAAAATTCTACAAGCGCAAAACTGTATCAGCTTTTTCCAAAATAATCTGCGTATACACGTCCAGTGACCTCTGTTATTGTTTTGGTAGCTCCCTAATGTTTATTGTTTTTGTTGTTTTGCTTTTTTGTAGAAAGCATTGTGATTAGGGGTCTGCGAATATTCAACATTTTGAATACGAATCGAATGTTTTTCTTATTCGATTCGTATTCGATTCAAGAAGGGCATATTCTGAAATTTTTGAATATTTGGTTATGGCCCAATATTCGGGCTATGTACGAATATTCGATAAAATTCCAAATAATCTGCGCGGGTGACATGCCCTAAACACTCATAGCTTCCTTTGAAGTTGTATTTGGTCTCCTTAGATGGCGGGTATTGTTGCCCTTTTCCTATAAATCCTCACCGTTTATGTAATTCGTAGAACTACTCTGTTTGCTCGATTTTAACGCGCTGCCAAATCTAACGTGATTTAGCTCCCAGATATTCAAAAAGCAAATTGCTGCCGATTCTACCACGAAGGCAAAAAATATGAAGGTTGGACGCATACCTCTTATAACAGATTTTATAAAACGCACGCCAGCACAAACAAATGTCGTGCACTAGCCACCATTCTCAGAAACCTACGATGGTTTTTCGCTGCCCACAGAGGTAATCCTTGCTTTCTCCTAAAGCGTTTTTTACACTTGTACGAGTGCGCGACCGTCGCCTCTGGGAGGGTCGTCTACCAAACAACACTGCGAGCTCGTCGAGTCGCTGGCATTGCGAGGCCAGGCAGTGCCGCTCTGTTGTGATCTTTTCCCGCTAGCGTGATGGCCTTTCGCTTAATTAAAGACCCCTAGCAGATTTTTTTTTTTTTGTTTTTCCATCTTACAACGACAGACACGAGCCTGTAGACGCGAGAGAATGGGCGTGTTACGGATATCAAAATAGTGAATGGTGAATGTAAACAAACGGTCACAATGGCGATGGGGCAAGCCACCTTATGCCGAGCATTGCGGTTTTTTTTTTTTGTTTTTTTTATTGTAAAGCTTGTGAATATTTGGGCACCGATTTTGGCGAACAAAAAGTGCGCGTTAGAATCGTGCAGACGAATGTGTTAGCTCACGACAAAGAAGCAGTTTTGGTTTTCGTATTGACGAGCTGCATTGTAAGTTACTTTTCTAGAGACCTTAAAATTTTTGCTTCGGCAGCAAGGGTATTTCTTGCTGCAGGAACAGTTGTCACTGCGAAAAGAGAGCGCTTATGTTCTAAACATCTGGAACAATTAATTTTCTTGCATGATGATTTGCAGTTTTGCATTAGCAGATGATATCGAACTTGCTGGCTCGTCAAGGACAATTTTAATTATTTTCTTTAAAAAATGTTACAACCAGTTGTTTGTGTGAGAACATTACAGGCTGCATTTTTACATGCTATCTAGACATGTGCAGTTCTCTACACTCTTAAGTTTGTAAATTTGTATAACTTATCAGTTGTAAATTTTGTCTACTTTCATGTACAGTTGACAAGTCATTAGTAGTGAAGGTACAATAGCTGCGTTTCCAGCTGCATTGTTTATAAGGCTGCCTAGTCAGGGAGTTTCATTTACTTGAATTTGTCAACATAATTTTCGGGTTTGAAGAAATGCGGAGGGCAAGTTCGTGTGCTTCTTACGCAGGAGGTAGCAGTGACGTCAGAACGCCGAGCCCTGATTGGCTGATCGCGACCCCCTGTCTGAGCATCGTCCGGCTCCTTTGCAACGTCGTCTGCTCGCAACGCCGTCTGCGTCTGTCTTACCTTTCCTGCGACTTTCGCAAGTGCAGAGGCCAGATTCACGAAACCATCTTACGCCAAAAATGTGCGTAAGACAAAACTTAAGAACAAATTCGTATTCACGAAACGAAATCTTCGTAAGTTGTGCGCAGGTTACGACGAAATCCTACGATAGCTCCGAAGCTGTCTTACGCACTTCTTATGATCGAATCAGCATGGCCGACAGCGTCACGGTCGCGACGACCCACGGACGTTTATTTTTCTACGTGCGCTTCTCACGCGTTCCGACTTCAAGCAGCAAGAAAAAAGTAAAAAGTAATTGAAACAGACCAGGACGAACAAGAACGCTGGATCCACAAACACCCGGGAAAAGTTCCAACGGCCACGATTCCACCGAACGCAACCAAGCGAGTTGGGCAGTTAGGCCTAGCAGGCACTCCGCGACTCGGCGACCGTCTGCCCACGACCGGCTGGCGTGCTGAATGCAATATGCCCGCGCGACCGTTAAGTGTGAACCCTTCCCGTATCATACTTTGATCGCTGACCTCGATTTTAAATTAAGAGGTCAATTTCTTTCTCTTGTTATCTCCTTGTTTCCCGAGGCAACGGTGACTCTCGCCGGTGAAAAAGCGGTGAATCTCCGACAGACGCAGGAAAGGTAAAGCAGCCACCGCTTTGACTAGCAGACGTAAAGCAGACGACGTTAACTGCGCCAACCCACCGACGCCGTTAAAGAATGAGGGGTCTCGCCGCACACGAAAGGAGGGAAAGATTATTTGGGAAGGAACTTGCGGACACTATACTTCGTTTCACATTATCTCCAAGCGAAGCCAAAGCTAGAAGCGCGAGACCGGCGCTTTTTGCGTTTCTCCCCAGCTCGCGCGCTCGAGCAAAGCCTGAACGCACGGAACTTTTGCGCTCGCGCTTCCAGCTTTGCCTTCGCTCGCACATAAGGTGAAACGAGGTAAAACCACCCTCACTCTCGGTTCTTCGCAAACAAACCTCGGCGCCTCGGGACACCTCGCCAGTGAGTCCTTTGACTTCCCTCCTTGACGCGCGTCTGCTAGTTGTTAGCCAAAAACAACGTACCGCTCGAGTTATTTCCGTCTACTTTCTCTGAAAGGCGAAGTCGAGACCTGCACTTTCGTGTAAAGACCTGCACTTTCGAAAGTCGGAGGAAAGGTAAGACAGACGCAGACGACGTTGCGAGCAGACGACGCTCAGATAGGGAGTCGCGATCAGCCAATCAGGGTTCGGCGTTCTGACGTCACAGCTACTTCCTTTCTCATGCGCAGAGGACGAAACTGAGCCCACTTGCGAGGCGTAGAAGGAAAAGTATTTGCATAATTTATTTTGTTATTTATTACTGGTACAGATATTCGCAAGATATTCGATATTCGAAGTTATCTTTTTTTTTTCTGATATTCATATTTCATTCGTATTCGAAAATTTCAATATTCTCACACCCCTAATTGTGATGCGTGACTGCAGTCGGGCGAACGTGTTTGTGCGGTTCATTTGTCGCCGGCTGTCGTCGTCGTCGCCAAGCTGCTGGCACCGTTTGTACACTCTTGTCCGTGGTATTGTACGTTCCACATAGTGTGCTTGCAATCTTTTTATTTCTTTTTTCACACTCGAAACCGACATATTTTGCGGTTATTTTTTCAATAAGAGATTTGATTATACCCTGCTTCTTCAGAGTTAGAGACATACTGTTTGCAGCCATGACTGCCGCAACTGCTGCACACACGTGAAATATGCCGCTCCGCGCAGGGAATGTTCACGAGCTACGCTAACGTCCTCCGCAAGTTTCATTATAGTACCCTTGTTCAATAATTTATTAGAAACAAACGTCCAGGACAACCGTAAACGACCCTTGCACAGGCTGTTTTGCCGGTGCTTTACAGACGCTATTTTCTTTCTCTTTTTTTTGCAAGGTGATTCTTGATGCGAGGCAAGAGCAAAATTTTATGTACGGAGACTCCTATTTCCTGGGCAAGACCATTATCCTGCTGCGCTGCCTGAAGCCCACGCAAACCATCTTTCTACACGCCACCGGCTTCACTGTGAAGGAGCAACAGACGACGCTGCTGAAAGAAGGGGACAGAACCTTCATTGGGATCGGGAAAATGGCCGTCAATGACGACCTAGAAATGCTGAAGATCGACGTCGAGACTCCTCTTGAGTTTAACGAGACGTACTCGCTGTCACTGGAGTTTGCCGGCTCGATTAATAAGTCGCCGCGAGGACTCTACAAGTCTTTCAGCAACTACGGAGAGCGCATGTAAGCTAACACGTTCGTTATTTTTTCGATGCCGCGATTTAAAAGGTAATTTGCAAAAACTAATTTTTTTTTTTTTAAATACACCGTGGACAATTTTCCCCCTTTTTTTCACGATATTGCCGCGCGCGCAGCTGGCCAAGCAGGCAGCACGGCTGTGGCCTAACGGTCATCGTGCTTGCTTCCCACGCGAAGAGCCAGGGTTCGATTCCTGGGAGCGACGCGTCTTTTATTTGTTCTTGCAATTTAGTGTTCTGGTACATTCGAAAACTCTGTCGCTTGTTCGAGGTACGAATGTTCTAGTCGCCGAACCGTCTAGGTCGAGTGTTCTAGAAGCCAACGCGTGTACATAAGGGGCTCCGCGTGGCAATCCGCAAGCAGCTTCGCATCAGCGTTCGATCCAGCTGTTACGCCGACTATGACGCCCGCGACGCTCTGTTGCTATCCTCTGTTTCCTTTTTGTTTTGGGCACAAGTTCGCCCCATTAAACGTTCAGCTTACTCAGTTATTCGCCACCTCATCATTCGTGGCAATATGAAGACCGCCAATCAGAAGGATCTCGGGGAATTATCAAGACAATAATAATACGATTAAAACAAAATGTCATGGCACGGGAGCATTGCGTCTTAATGTCACTGGGCACATTGCATTTCTAAGGCCTAATTGTAATATTTGCTTCATCATTTGCGAGAATCTTTCTGTTGTTCACCGTGATTCGCTGCCTCCGTGTTCTGCAAAAAAGTAAACTTACAGACATTTTTTTTTTAGACTGTAGCTGCAAGCTTGAGTAAAGTCGTAACGTGTTTTTTTTTTTTGTTTTAGAGAACACATTAAGTTCAACAATGGAAGTGATAATGTATGTAGAGTATATGTTCCTCAGAACATCTTGAGTAATTCTACAATATTTTAAAGTATTCTTTGTATGTACACCGTTGTATTACTAATTCAATTTTCAATGTTCGAAATATACACTTTTGGGTCGAAACCTCATCTGGGTTTTGGGACCAGAACCCAGATGTAATGCTAAATTGTGCCGAAACAAAATATATGCACAAAACGTTTATACTGTTTCTGAATTATCGGCGTACAACTCAGACTACCGGATATTCTTCATCCCAGTTTTCCTTGGGATATGGTGTCAGGTAGCGGTTTGACACGTAATTTCCGCACGAATGACAAATGCTGACGAATCAGAGCGAAAATCAAACTCTTCGCCCACACATCGTATAATGCCAGAATGACTTGAGTCGCCACTTTGACTGTTTTGAGTCATCAGGAGTACGGACGGTTCTTAGAGGATTGGCACAAGGGCTTGTTTGAATTTGATGCAAAATTATCATAATCCAGTGAACTGATAGTGGACGAAAAAACCTGATGGGTTTCCGTAATCTAATTCAGATCAGGTACAACTGAATTTTCAGACACCGAGGGGTTCTCCGACGGTGCTTCAACCTGCCCGGGTCTGAAGGCCTTTTTCATCTAGAGCCAGTTTGTCTACAGTCCTTTCATAGACTAGAACCAGTCTCCCGGAAGTCCTCTGCCGCTTCTGCGACGCTCGACTCGAACTAAGACGCAGAAACAGCCTTTTCAAGTTTTTCTTTTACGTAAAATATATTTTAGAAACTGAGGACTAAGAACTACGACATTAGCGCTCGCTTTTCTGGTACTCACAGCACAGACAGCTTTGTTTATATTCCACCATAAAAATAATAAAATAAGCTAATAAATAGAACACCACGTCAGAGGCCATGCACTAAACTAACACACTCGACCACCGTTCCCTCTAAAGCATGTCGCAGACCTAAGCTCGCGCACAGATAGAAAAGCGAAGTATGCAAGTAAACGAACATATAAGTCATTGGCGTCAGGTTTTATTTCATATTTGTCTCACGGTGCGGCGTCGAACCTCTCGCGCAGCACCGTGACAGGCACACACTTCCAGCCGACGTACGCCCGGCGAGCGTTCCCGTGCTTCGATGAGCCCGCGCTGAGGGCCACCTTCAGCGTGGTGGTGGTCAGGCCCAAGAACTACCGAAGCTTCTCCAACATGGCCATCTCCAAGAGTGAAGAGCGGTGAGTGGTACAACCGCCTTTAATCTATAGTTGGTCAAAGTCAATAATTGCGGGTTTATTCGACAAGAAAATGCTCTTGTAGGACGCAGTTATTTATTTTGTTTTTATCTGCAAATATTCTGATGGTTACAAAAAGGTTTATTCGAGTACGCCCGCGTGACACTTTGTACTGCAACATTTAAAGAATTTGATGGTGATGATGATTTTCCGGTTATTCTTATTGAATCAGGCGGTCCCGTGGTGTTTGGGACCTAACCTGTGGGTGTGTTTATTCCCGCTACTGAACAAGCAGCCATCAGTTTTCTAATCTTATTTTCGTGTACTTCAACACATTACCCCAGCCTTCCTTGGGCGTCGGCTCAGCAACGGCGCATTTTCTACTGTTGGTCCCGCCGGCGGAGCCTACCGCTAAACTCAAAGCAGATTATAAAACGAGCGCCCATGCCAATGCGCAATCCCATGTTGCGCGTTCACAATCCGCTGGTTGGACAGGTTTCAGGCCTGCGCCCGTCAGTACCACATGTTCAATTGTCTCGCCTGCCTCACCAGACTCAACACGCTGAAGGTTCCACTGTCTGCTCCAAGCGTCGGCGGTACATTAGGGTTCGCAGTGCTTCTGCACGCGCCTCAAAAAGGAGTCGGCTTCCCAAGGTGTTATTATAAAGTGTCGTCTCTGCTCAGCTTTTCTGCTTCTATTGATGATACAGATGTAGCATCATCTTAGACTCTGCCGTCTCTGTCCACCAAGGTGCCTTCTCCTTTCTCACCCGGCTTCGTATCTCCAACTCCCACTTTTCATCTGAAGTGGTATTTGCAGGGGTTGCAAAGAAGCCGTATTTCTTTTCTGACTGGTACAGTTGCTTCCTCCAGCCAGTTTGTGCTCTTGTCAGGTATGTATACTAAGAGCTTCTTGGCCCATCGGTTGCGATCCATGAGGCGGAGACGGTTGTCATAGGTGATCTTGCTAGTTGCCTCCCTGGCCTCGAAAGACGACCACCCGAGATCTCCCTGGACTGCCTCCTTGGCCACCATTCCATGAAAGCCCGGAGCCTGACGCCCAACCTCGTGCTGTCGGCGTTCCAGGACTTCCCGCACTGTGCCAGGGAAACAAAGAACCGCGTTGGCGAAGGTAAGTCTGGGTACTACCACCGCCTTTCAGAGATTACGCGTCACCAGAAATTGATTACAACTCCGCAGCTTGAGTTTTCGGAGGGCTCTGGTGTCTCGCAGAGCTGCCTGTCGGAAATGAGCGTGATGTTCTGTCAGGTACTCGGGCTTTTTGGCCAGTAAAACTCCGAGGTATTTTTACAATTCCTGTGACTGTATTCGTTCACCGTACAGAACCATATTGTACAACGAAGACTCTTCGGGCCCGACCAGTACCAGCATCGCCGATTTCTTGGGGTTTAACAGGAGGCCCAGCGTAGCCGCCTTATTCTCACATATAAGTCGCTGCAGTATCGGCCGCATAGGTGAGCCCCAGTAACACCCACTTCGCCTCTGCGCTTTCTTCCATGTGTGCTAGTGAAGAGCCCAACTCTGACTGGATTAGGCGCTTCCCCAATCCTGATGCATCGGGGATAGCGGACAGTGGGGAGAGCGGACATCCCTGTCGGAGACCCCTCGCTACTGTGAATTGCGCCGAGTCGTTCACGTTTAACTGCGTCCTCACTATGTTGTTCGGGTAGAGGCGCTGTATGAGAGCTAACCACCGAGTTGGAAGACGGAGCTCCTCCAAACGCTGTACAAGTTGCGCGTGCAGCACGCTGTCGTATGTTTATGCCACATCTAGAAAGAAACACAGCAGCCTTATCCCCTTCGAAACGCCGTCCCATTCGTTATCCATCCTGGAGTTCGAAGAGCAGCTCGTTAGTTTCTTCCCATGCTGCCATGTGTTCTCTGATGATGTAGGCGAAGGTTTTGTGTACTGTATACAGGTCTTCAGGGCCGACAAATCTCCAAGGAACTGTTTATCGCCTCTCCTTTTCGGGATCATTACAACACGGCCAGCTCGCCAGTCTTGGGGAACAGGTTTCTCTCCCTTTAGGATTGCTCTGAAGAAAGCCACTAACTGCTCCACGAAATATTTTTGATGGACTTGAGAACACTTGCCGGTATCCCGCCCAGTCTCTTAAAGGTAGCCCCTTTCAGGCGCGCGAGCGCTCGCACGATCATCAGCCGGCCGATGTCTGCTTCCTTGCTTCCTTCCAGATTGACGGAAGGAGCTCGGCGAATAACGAGGTTGAAAACATGTTTAGTGTGCATAGTTGAAACGTACTTCAGACGCTGCCTGAGCTGTGTTTAATCCTTGTATGACGAGATCAAGATTAACTGTTGGGCTAGTTGAATGCACATATTGAAAACAATTAGCGCGAAAAAACAAGGCTAAAACGAGGACACGTACAAAAAAAAAAGCGCTACTATCAACTGTTGTTGATAGTAACGCTTTTGTTTAGTGTAAATGCAGAGAATCAAGAAGGAAAAAAGCAAAGCGAGTGATGAAGACTAAGTAGAAAGGCTAGAACAGCTCGAGAATGACGAATTTAACGGTAACTGAATCTACCTTTTTAGTAATTCATCGGTTTCATGTGTTTGGGCAGAGAACGCGCGTGCACCCCACGAGCGTTGGCACGAGCGTCTTACTCCAAAGTATGTCATGGTCGCTCGTGAATCCATTGAACGCGAACATGTGTTTTCGTACCAGAACCTCCGGAAACAGGATTTCTAAAGAAAAGATTATTGCTTGGCCTCTTGACGTTCTACTTTTTAAACGGGAAAAACCCTTGACGTTTTGGTGTCGAAACCCGAGAGGCTTCTTCGCAACACCATCTCCCGACCAAGACGGCGCTGCAAACTTTCTAGGCAATTGTGACCTTAGTAGCTAACCCTAATCTTGGAACTCTGAGACTTTAATAATGACAGAGTCAAACCACCCTGAACGTAACGCGAAGGTCTTTCAAGAATGATTCCTGCAGGGAAACATTAATCGATTGACTCTAATGAATCGCAATGAATAGATTGAAAGCGAAGCGCAGCACTCGACGTGCCCAATACACCAGGTTGATAAACGACTGAACCGTACTGTTGAACAGTCCTTATAGATGCAGACCTAACCAGACTCATCGGAATAAAAGAACGCCTTACTACAAGCAACGCGGAGCTGAACAAAATTAACAAGAAGTTGCAGTCGCTACTACCGAATGAGGGGTTCGAGATCGAGTGTGCAGTTGCGAATATCAAGTCTAGACCATCATGTTTTTTGTCGAACACCGCTCTAAGGTTAAGGAACTGCAGATTAGCAGATGTCCAACGCGCCGGGCGAACGCAACGACTACATCCAGCACACCTGACCCAGTCTAAAGGATGAGTGGGTCTAGGCTACCGAAATAGGACATCAATATAATCAGAGAGGACATCGCCCATTGGCAGACTTTCTGGGGCAGTTCGAGGGCACGATTCACTCCAGCCAAACGTCGTCAACGACAAGTAAGTTTCATCATTTGCGCCGCTACCTGACTGACGATACCTCAGCGGCAATTGCAGGACTACCTACAACAAAAGCGTGTTATGCCGATGCCATTCACCTACTGAAGCAATGCTTCGGTGATCAAAGGAGAATAGAGCAAGGACATCTGGCGGAACTTCGAAATCTTCCCCTTGTTTGATCCTCTACAGATACCCGAGGTCGGAGTAACCAGTACGAAACTGCGCAGCGGAACATCGGAGCTCCTAACACACTAAACGTGCCGACATTAAGCTTCGCAGCCATGCTTTGCGATGTTCTCATCCCATCGATAACTCACGACATCGTGGAGCAATATACTAGAGACAAGTTTCATACAAGCTACCAATAAATGCAGCAAAAGCTCAAAGTGACGAAACCTCATCGCCTTCTCCTACATCCTCATCAGAAATCGACGAGATGCTGCCGTTCCTTCGCATTGAAGTCAAAAGCAGGGAAAGGAGCAATCACAGCGGAGCTCGTACAAACGAGCGAAAGCCAGAGTCTCGTTCATCTGCTTCTGAACGTTACAGTTCGACTCTGCAAACAACAGGCGAGTGCTATTTTTGCAACTCTAAAAGACACGCCACACATTCTTGCGATTCTGAGAATACTATAATGGAGAAAAAGAAGTTACTGGGAATGAACATAAGATGTTTCCGCAGCACAACCCCTGGGCATCGTGCAAGGGATTGCAAAAAGCAGTCACGGTGCCCGAATTGTAACGAACGACACGCATTACCAACGTGTTATTCATCATTCGCCCAGACGAGAAGAGACAAAAGTGGACTCAGTCGTCTGCGTTCCTTCTTCTGACCCGAAATACAAGTCTTCGGTTGGACAATGGAAGGGCAATTCCATCCAACTAAAAACATTCCGTGCGTGGGCTTCAGTAAAAGGTGCAGTAACTACATCAGAGGCACCTTTGATAAAGACAACCAATGGTCATTCATCACTAATGTTGCACGGCGCCTAAATTGCAGAATCTTAAGAAAGAACAATCTAGCACAAAGCACGTCTGCTAGCTCCTCAAGAAAAACATTACATTATAGCTATGTCGTTGAGGTCCGGCTTAAGAGCCAGTACAACGACACTGAGTGCACAATCGAGGCAATTACCATAACGATAATTTGCCAGGCATAGCTGCCTCGATTGCAGATAACACCTTTGCGCGCCTTTTGCGTGATCAAAAAGCTGTCTAGCTGGTGACATGGTGTAGTTTAGTGTACAAGCAACACGTGGAATAAGTCTTCTCACCGTATCAGATCAAATATAAAAATTGCTCACAGGAGAAATTCCTAAATCCAAGGAAAGCGACGGCTTGGTGGCCATAAACACTACGATGAGAGGGACGCTTCAAGAACCCTCGATACAAAAGGGAATATTGCCATCAAAATCGATCCTGATTGTGTGGGTCCTCTGGACACAAACAATGACCGACGAGGAAGAAACCACCGAAACTCTCGATGGCTTTTGGGGCCTTCAAATACGCCGTTCA